TGTAATAATTATATTTTAAATACTATAATTTCTGACTCTCTATCTGTTTGTTCTTGCTAATTTATGAACGAATCTCGGCTCAGGCCGGCGTAATTTCGATCCCCGATCCGTTTCTGCGTGAAACAGTAACAAACATCCAACCTAACCAATCTCTCGCGTTTATAATATTATTATTAAGATAATAATAAAAATATCTTGAAACAATTGTACATTCACAATACGGACAGTAAGACTTTAGACCCATTGTACGGAGGTACTTCGATTTGCCCTCGATATCTTAATATTAATCATTAGATACATAAAACAAAGTCGCTGTCGCCGTCTGTCCGTCCCTATGTATGCTTAAATCTTTAATACTATACGTAACGGATTTTGAAGCGGTTTTTTAATAGAGTGATCCAAGAGGAAGGTATATATGTATAGTACAGGTACACCCGTGCGAAGCCGGGAGGCTAGTAATGTTATAAACGCGAAAAATTTGTAGGTATGGACATTTGTATATGTTTATTACAGTAATATAGCTTATATTATTATATTGTCTATGTGTAATTCTGATACACATAGACAATATTTTAATTTTAATTTATATATTGAATTTTAACACGAGTGCAACCGCGGGCACAGCTACTATTAAATATGACCAATGTAAGTATGTGTGTAGAATAATAATAGCGTACCAGCCACACCCTCGCACGCAACTCACCCTACCCGACTCCCTCGTTCGATAACGCGCATATTCTCATATGTGATTATAACCTCCTCGGCACTTCGGCTACCCTGGTACATGTGTGACTCTGAAAACTCACATGACTCCAACGACGACGTGTGACACATAGTGCACACGTGTGATGCTCTGTATTTATAAATCTATGAACTGTATGTAGCCCCGTTTGTGTGTATAACGTATGAAACATTTGTGAGTTTGTGTAGTGTGTAGTTTCCATGTAGAAAAGGTGTGTGGGGTTTATCGAAGTATGAGTATAAGTGTGTTGACTTATGGTTACTTAACAAATCAACTACTCGAACGTAGTTTGTTTACTATCCCCTACATATAATATACAGAAATAATCAATTGGTAATTATTATTATTTTTTTTGAAGAAAATAGAAACACCATATAGATTTCGAGATAAATATATGGGAAATGACATTTAAAAACTTAAATAAGAATAGAAAACATGGAGTAAACATGGCATTTTAACTTTACCGTGCCCATAACAATGTTTTTAGAGGAGTGATTGCCTACGCTCGTATTGCATGTGTAGGATGGTATTGTGTGTAACCGTACAATATCCTGTTATTTATGTTACTCTGGTATACCCGTGTGTTTGGGCCGTCACATGACGACATCCATTTTGATTTGATTGAAAGAAAGAATGAACGATGTTTTTTGTTATGATTATGTATGATAATGGAATGTTGATTCCAGGAGGAACCGCGTGGAGGTCACTCTGGCATAGTATATTGCTAGCAGTTATATCAGTCCACATTCTAATGATTATCCCCTTATAAAGTGTTTAAGCAGTGTCTATTTTTAAGAATTTCATATGAAACAGTTGACTAATTAAATAAACAATTATAAAGAACAAAAGGGCGGTACGCAGCAATATTTTTGGGTATTATTATGAAATTATTAAAAAAAATGTATTATTTATGAATCGCTTGACGGATGGTATTTTGTTTCGGAACTAGTAAAATTGAAAATAATCCAATAAAAACTTGTTTAAAATTGACCAAAATAACATTAATTATTTAATGTAAGACAAAACTAAAACAGATTGTTCGTCATGTTAAATATGATAAAGAATTGATAACGATATACAAGTCTGAATTGTAACGGAAAATCTCGCGTAATTTTATTTTTTTCCGGAACCATAGAAATTCTGAGCTTGGAGTCGTAATGTCATTGCAATAAAGTTGAAAGTTTACAAACCACGCAGAAAACTAAAGGGCCAGAAATTGAAGCGAAATTGGAATAAGGGGTTCCAATATACTCTTTAATTTCTTTTTGGTATAAACATAAGTATGAAGATTGTTATTTTAAGAGTTTTTTAAGTCACTACTATTCTTGTGCTTCTTATATAGTAAACAATTTTGAACCTTATTTTGATGACACTTGCATTGTTTTTTAATCAACATCGTCTGTTGTTGCGATTAATTTTTACCGGTTTTTTCACTATAGTCAATGAAGTATTCTCCTAGAAAGTTATTTCCTTCCTTGAATGTAGCGAAATTAAGTACAGATTAATAAAAAAGGAATTCCTGATAATTGTGTCTGAGCAACATTTTAGCACCGCGTGAATTTAGGCGCCAGCCACAGTACACATTTTATTAGTAAATTTATAACCATTGATAGGTGTACTAATAGGACTGAACCCGTGGAAAGATGGGACATATTTGAGGAAACTGATACTGTAAGATGTACGAATATGTAACTGAGTACCCGTTTTGATCCCTGAGATGTTGTAAAAGCTGACCAGGGTAACAAATCCTCACAGCAGTCAAAATAAGGAAATCTTAAAACAGAACTCTATTTTAAGCCGCATGGCTAACCAACTCTGCAAATTCATCTTTACGAATAAATTTCAAGATTTCTTGGTAATTTTGATTCACTTAACAATAAATACCAGGATATCATAAATGGGAATAATTTGAAGACGAGAAAGAACCTATCCAGACGTCAGCAATGTAAAACAGACATCCTGAGGGCAATAACTTCAGGATCCAGACTGACTGTCTTTTTTATACGTTGTCCGTTATATTTGTACATGTGATTTTTCTTAATATCATCATTATAGAATCATAAAAAAAGAAATATTCAATCGTTAACTTCAAAGCCTGATTCCGCAGATCCGAGTTTCCTAATCCGCCCAAATCTCAGTCGGTCCCTGAAGGTGTTAAATGTCGTCTAGGGCGCCGCCTACATTCTATTGTTCTAGACGTCAAATACCAGGAATAAATGAGTGCATAGAAGTGTATTTTGAACAGAAAGCGGCAGAGTGGGGATGTCGTGATTTGGCATTTTGAAAATGGAACTCTATAAAAAAGTAACAGTAGAAAAGTTTCTATCTAAATAATTCGCTACCTATAAGCGTAGATGTTTACTGACGTCACAGTAAAGTTCAATGAACTTAGGATTGTTTGTCAGAAAAAAAAATAAAAATGCACTTCAATGGTGACGATTATTATATATATATATTTTAATCCGTTATTTTATTGTTAAATTCACTAGGTATTTATCACGATGGTTTCTAGGTACCGCGTGAAGGTGACATGACATGGTACATTGTTAGCAATGACGAATACAATAGCATTATTATCTTCTGTCTTTTCACAACTAAAAGGCTGTACCGGTTTTAATAAAGTTTGACCGGAAGATAAATTATATCACGACGACGAACTAAGGAAGCTTTTATCTCAAAAAAAAAAACAATCTACAATGAATGAAAGTTTATAAACATCTGAAATATATATATCAATTATATGACAGTGTAAAAAATATCTTACTTTGTAAATTTACTTATTATTTACAGTTATTAAAATTATAATTATAATAAATTGACACGAATTGAACTAACCAATTTCAAATGTCAGCAGTATATTGCACGCCCCTACCTCCCTCTGCCAGATTTGGTATTCACCCTCTAAAAATAGACATATTACATGTGCACTCTACACTCCACAGAACAGAGATGTGAGTCTCTGTGTTACACTGTATGGTTTGTAACAACTCAGAAAAAATAGTATTGATTTTTTTTATATAGATGTTTTTTTCTATACATATTAATATTGTAGGTGAGAATGTAAATCTGTCTCTAAACATCAACTCTGACTGGACCTAACATTTTATCGCTAAAATGACTAAACGAATTATGATAAATGTCTATATGTACTGATAGATTGGACTTTGGCGAAAATATCTACTATTTGTCACAAAAAAAAAAACAAAGAGTATGAATTTAAGTTTTCGACTTGTCAAGCAATATATACAACATATAAAAATAAAAAATAGAACTCAAAGTTACTAATTATATATAAGAGTATATACGTAGACGAAATTGCCGGCATCAACTAGTCTTGTAAATCCAATTTTGAGAATTCGTTATTCTCATTTGTACCCCATTTGGTGCAGTCTAGGGCCCCGGGCTAGTGTAGGGAGCCAGCGTCCAAATATTTGTTGTAGCTTTACAGTTTTAAGTTGAAATGAGTGCATAAAAAGTACCGACTAGTACTAATTCATTCCCACTACGATCGATCCCCCGAATGGATCCCCCAATCGAACTCAAACCGAGATTCGACCCCCTAGCGGTGCCCTCAGACTAAACTCGTATCCGTCAGGCAGGAGTTGCCCTTCCTTTGGTTTGGAGTGCCATTTGCACTCGTCCCCTATCGTCCGTTGACTGCCAGTCTGTAAAGGCCAGCTACGACCATCAGCATAAGAGTAGTCGGAAAAAAAAATTTCGGGCAATTTTTTCTTACTCATTAATATTGGTATGTTATTAGCACCTGTCATGATGTTTTAGTAGAATTATATATTATACTAGCTGTACACGCGACTTCGTCCGCGTGGAATTAAACTTTATTTTTCTAAAATAAAAGTAGCCTAGGATACTCTTTATTACATCAACTACCTTCCAAAGAAAGTCCCGTCAAAATCAATCCAGCCATTTCAGAGATTAGCCGGAACAAATAAGCAGACCGACAAAAATTGTAAAATATGTTATTTTGGTGTATGTACCGTATTTATATTCATATGCATGTAGTAAAAAATTATTATTTCAATATTACAAACGGACACTCCAGTTTTATTTATATGTATAGATAAAAACAACTAATTCATGAATCAATATATAAAATTCACAATCAACTGGTTGAGTATAACTAAATTATTAAATTAGTCGTAGTGATTAGAGTAGACCAGTCTCTACAAGCACTCGTCCACGAGTATGACGTATGCGGTAGTCATACCGTATAATCAATTCATATAATTCATTGTTGCAGGTGACTAGTTTTCCAAACACATATACGTTTTTGAAATACGAGCACGAGATGCAAAGGCGTACCCCTGGCACCCAGCACACGTCCGCACTCGTCAAAGACAGAAGGGTGAGTTTTTTATGGATGTACTTCACACGGGTGTACATGGGTGTATTATAGATATATACCTTTCTCTAAAATCACTCTATCTATTAAAAAAAACAGCGTCAAAATCCGTTGCGTAGTTTTAAAGATTTAAGCATACATAGGTACAGACAGCGACAGCGACTTTATTTTATACTATGTAATGATAATATAATGGTGCACCCGCCTGCGCTACGGTTATGCTGGCGGGGCACCAGTTGAGGATGATAAGATTAGGTCAGGTCAGTTAGCCCATCGTGACAAATTCGTCACGAATTTATCACAATGGTTTCCAGGGGAACCGCGTCAACCTGACCTGGTACTTTGCTAGCAATAAGATCATTAGTCCACATTACTAACAATCTCCTCTCCTCCAGAAGGGTGAGTCAATCGCATAGACCTCAACTCTCAACATCAGGGTAACCACCCTTAGCACCCTTCTACGACGATATCGAACTAAGTAACTGGGGTTACCTCATTTTTTTTATAACTTTTGATAATTATATTAAACATCAATAAAGTGACTACTCTCAGTGACAATTAATAATAATAATAATCACGTATTTTAAAAGGCTCACAGTAAATATACACACAAACACGCATACATCCACACACACACTCCACGGGTTTTGACCCGTTGATATAAGCCACAATGCATAAAAACCCAGCAAAAGCTCTGAAAATAAAACATACAATAATAATCTTTTGTATGAGCTATGTGCTGAAATGGCCTTCAATCAGATGGTGCCGCAGCGTGTCACTGCAGCGTGTCAGTGGAGCCACTAAAAAAAAAGAAATAGCATTCATGATATTATTAATTTTAAATATATAAAAAGAAAAGTTAAATGGAAGAATTAGTAGGGACTGGTCTGCTCTTATCACTACTACTGATTTAATCTTATTGTGTTTTTATATTTGAGCCTAAATAAATTAGTGCTGGTTGGTAGTTTGTATTCACACGTTTCTTGTAAAATGTTAAGTTATAAGGATTGTTTAAAAGAGCAACACACAAGTTTCTTGCTTATTCTTCTTGTGATGACACAGCTTTCCGAATAAGCGGTAGATTAAAAAAAATTGTTGACTATTCAAAAGTGCTTAAATTAAGTTTATTTAAGCACTTTATGATTTTCTATTCTATTCTATTCAATGAACGAATTCAATAATTAACTCGTAAATTAACAGCAAAAACTTTTTAGCAACAAGTTTACTCGTATGTTTCCGTATATCAGAATAACTGTATTAGAATTATGATATCCTAGTAACTCGTATCGAAGACGAAAAACCTCGTACACGAACGGGGATGCTCGAGCGGTTGGCTCTCTCTGACACCGTCACCGATCTATGTTGCCCTAGTCATTTCCAACCGGTATCCACGTGGTCTTTTTCAATTCCGTCGGACTGCCGAAATATTTGTGCCACGCCCACCCGTTTCCGTAGTATTTACTCAATACCACGTCGTGTCACAATGTATACATATATGCGGCCTCGGTTGTCAAGTGGTTTAGCACACAGCTTTACTTCCGATGGTTGCGGGTTCGATTCCTCGCACGACAAACATTTATTCATGAGTACGATGGTTTGTATCGGTCTGGATGTTTTCTATGTAATATGTATCAGTTATCTAGGACTCATAACCAAGCTTTAGCTAGCTTAACTAGATGGCGCTATTTGAATTGTCCTGAGATTATTATTATTGTTATATTAACTAGCTATCCGCACCGGTTTTGCACGAGCCGTATTTCGCTAAATTCCGTTGCATTAAAAAATTATACATTAAAAAAAACATTACACACACTACCATGTATACACACAGGCATAGAAATTATAGTGTTTTTGAATAGAATTATATTCAAAGTATTTACAATAGATTGAAAAGTAATATATTATTTAATAATTAATACAAACAATCACAAAAGACAATAATTCAAAGTTAGAATTTAAATTAAATAAGGTCGACCATTGGACGGTCACTAGTATTCATAAAAATACGGACTAAAAATGTTTTTATATACCTAACTGAAATGGTAAACAAATAAACTTAATTTAAGCACTTTTGAATAGTCATAGTTATCATTCTTTTAATCGACCGCTCATTCGGAAAGCTCACCACAAAAAGAACGAGCAAAAAACTTGCGTGTTGCTCTTTTAAATAATCATTGTAACTTTATATTTTTAATTCGAAACGTGCCAATACAAACCACCAACAAGCACTAATTTATTAGGGTAAGATATTAAGTACACAATATAATATATAATCAGTCGTAGTGACATCTGCTTAACAATGATTATAGAAATGAATAATTGAGAAATACTTTTTTTTATAACAGGTGCGCTGGGCAGAGCAAGTCTTCCTCAAATCGCGAGTCAAAAGATACTATACGCTAGATCCGGATGCTGAGATCCACCGGGTGAAAAGGGTCAAACAATCCAATACTAGTTTAGACAGGAGAACAAGGGCTGCAGGAATTCGAGGAAGAAAACCTCTCTTCAACGACGAACTTTGGAACCAAGAGTGGTATTTGGTAAGGACTAAGGAGTAATATTAAAAGGACAGGAAAATTGTACTTGAAATAGAAAAATGTTTCTTTATTAATCCAAATTATTACCGTATAGTTTCAGTTTGTATGTGTTAAAATTAACCAATGCACGCTGTGTCTACATCTAGTAGGATGTATTACTTAAAAAGTTTATTTCATCTATGTAAAATCACAGATAACATAATATTACGTAAAATTATGCTCTCTGTAAGACATTCAGTTTTGTAGACCTAATATATAATAAAAAAAAGGAGATACAATACTGAATAATCTATGCCTAAAGAATTTTTAATCTATGGAACTGGTACCTTACATTACATTTCACTTCTTCACCTAGGTATATCTTACTAATGTTATTTATTCGAAAGTTTATGAAATTTATGGTTATGGTTATTTATGATTATGAGTTTATGGATGGATGGCTGTATATTAACAACTACTAAACGGATTTTAATGAAACTTTACAGTAATATAGCTTATACATCAGAATAATACATAGACTAGAAATTTAACGCAGATGTAACCGAGGACACCGCTAGTTAATATTATAAACGCTAAAGTTTGTGAGTATGAATGTAATGCTGGATATTTATTACTCTTTCACGCAAAAACTATTGAACGCATTTTGATGAAACTTTACAGTAATATAGCTTAGATAGACGTCAGAATAGCACAGGGCATAATTTAAAAATATATGTTAATAGGGTAAGCTTAATTAATGCTGATGAAGTTGCGCGGGTCTGCTAGTTACCCATGCTTTGTAGGCCATCGTTTTCGGGAATTAACATTAATGGTAAATGTTTCTTAATCGATTTAACAAGCTTTTTCATAAGTTTTTTAGGTGTTTAGTGCTTGTTACTGGCAGCTTGTCTACCATTCTTTTTATAAACTTTATATTTTTTATACGTCACTTTTGACTAACCATATATTTTTTTGTTACTTCTTGCTGTGAGCCCTTTTGGGAAGAATACACATTTTTACTAATATTTGGATTTTATTAAAATAGTAGTTGTGTTCCCGCTCCAGTAACAGTGCTTATATGGTCAGAGACACTTTGTTTCATGACCGGATATCGATAGTTTCATACAGCATTAACATATTTGTTTGTTTCCAGCAAGATACACGCACGTTGAACAATTTGCCTCGACTGGATTTGAACGTGTTACCAGTTTATGGTATGGGCTTCAATGGCAGCGGGGTGCGGGTGTCTGTACTTGATGATGGTATTGAGCATAATCATACCGATTTAAGAGCAAATTATGTAAGTCATTATTTTTATAAATAATACAAATGATATACTAAACAGACGCACAAAGTAAAACAATAATAATCTCAGGACAAGTCACACAGCGCCATCTATTCCCAAGTTACGCTAGATAAAGCTTATGTTATGGATACTAGATAACTGATACCAATGCATAGATATTTTTATTCGTAAATACATACATAAAACACCCAGACAGACACATTCAATCATATTCATGAATACAAATCTTTGTGCTGTGCGAGAAATCGAACCCGCGAATATCGAAAGTGCAGAAGAAAAGCAGTTTGTTAAACCGATGGTATATACATAAATTATGGTAACACCATTCCATCATCTCACCACATCATACATTAAATACAAAAAAATAATAATAAACGCTTTCAATTTTGTACCTTCTCTATCTGTTCATTGTTCGAATTCATGGATACCAAATAGCAAACGTTATACTACAATATAAGGCATTTGCAAAATTATTATCAACAAATCAATTTGAACTTTATAGTATTACACATAGATTTTCGTATCGAATAACAATCCAAAATAGCAGAAAACATGTTACAAATACCTCGCATCTGACGTCACTAGATGACGTCATTTTATAAATATGAACAACTCTCCTAGACTTTCTGAAGTCCTAGTACGTTCGCCGGCGAAGCAACCCGCCGACTCGCCACGAGAGTCGGCCGCAGTTTTCGGATGGCGCATGGCATATGGCGGCCGTGTGCATGGCGCAAGTCAGGGGACCAAAACACGACAGATGAATAAAACCGTATCATTGATCCTAACTGAGATTATAAATGCAAAACTAAGTTTGTTGTTTCACGACTAATTTTTAGATGCAACCAGAAAGCTAGTAAATAAAAAATCTAATTTCCAATATTGTCATGTTTTTGTCAAGTGAATCTATTTAAGGTTAGCTAGATAAAAATAATGAAATCAACAAATGTATATTATTAAACATACTTTCAATAAATTTTAATAACAATCTATTGAATATAAGCGGCAATCTGCAATCCAATTCTATAAGACTAATAATGAAATTCCATACTTTTCTCAAGTTTTTTTATTATCTTGAATAACATCAAGGCCTGGTACTACTTTATTAAACAGTTATGTGCTTTGACTTGTTTATATTATTATGGTATCGTTAACTAATGGCTGTTTGATTCAGAAGTAAATAAACTAGAAACGTATTAAAGTCATATAACAATTTCTGAACTTCCTGGCGCCAATATTCGAAATCGACAACAATCTCCGAGTTGAGCCGGAGTTAGTAAAAACAATCTCTACGGCTTTCTAAAGTCCTGGTAACTTCGTCAGTGACGTAACGCGCCGACTCGCCTCGCGAGTCGTACCGCTGGCCCGTCGGGACACCTTCGGATGGGTAAGGCCCGCCTTTACAAGTAAGGCAACCGCGCATGATCACTAAACGTCAACCAGGCATCAATATTTTGGTAGATAATTGAAAACTACTAAATCTACCAAAGTGGTTATTGTTGATTTCAACATTACTACTACATTACTTTTAAAAAAAACTTTGACAGAACTACATAAACACACGTTTAGCAGCTAGCTTACGTTTCGGTTGAAGGATGAGGTATGGTAGTGAAAATACAGGGTACCGGAACATGTTATCTCAATTCATATATACCAAAGAACTCCTCACTTACCATTAGGCGCCAACCTAACAGTTAAAGGGCAGGTTAGTTTGGTAACAATCACAAAAAAAACATAATGTGAGTTCTCTATAAATTTAACTTAGTTTGATTTTGACGGGCTCACCGCTTTACCTCCAATGGTCGAGAATTGAAGTACATTTTTCAATTGTGTTATTCTATATTTTTTTATTTCTATTATGTATATATACATAACGGCAATTGGTAAAAATAAATGGTAACTACATGGTACATTGCTATTAATGTAACAGTCCTTTCCCCCTATTGTACCTACTATCATGAATTCTCAAGTCACGTCTCTATGTAACTATATAGCAATAACTGGTAAATTTGATTCCAGGATCCGGAAATAAGCTGGGATTGCAATGATAATGATTCAGACCCCCAACCACGGTACGAAGACCTGCAAAAGAATTCGCATGGTACTAGATGTGCTGGCGAGGTAAATTATAGTACTTATTAGCTTCAATAAAGTATTATATTTTACAGTTTTTCTAACAACTTTCCTATTCAGTGTTGCTATGCTGTTCCTATTTCAAAAACCAAGTTCATTTTAATCTTCTATTGCAGATAGCAATGACGGCAAACAATTTGAAATGTGGTGTGGGCGTGGCCTGGGGAGCTAAAGTAGGCGGAGTTCGAATGCTCGACGGGCGAATTACAGACCGGATTGAAGGAGAAGCGATTGGTAATACCGCTAACGTTTATGTTAGCCTAGTACATTGATCGCCATGTTGAGCTCAAAATGTCGTTTGTTAGGAAGATAGATTAAATTATAAGATAGAGAGAGGAAATATTAAATGAAAGGTGAAAGTGCAATGTGTACACTTCTCTATCTTTCATAATGTTGAGTAATTCTTTCAGACTCAAAATTTTGTAGAATGTTTGGAAAAGAGTCAGTAGCGGGTTATAGAGAAAAAAGTGTCATTAAAGGAGTAATGTGAACTACAACTACTAAACATAGTAGCTGTTGTAGAATAGACACATCATTTTTGTTAATAAGAAATAACTTGTAGGCGTATAATAATTGTTTAGTGAAGTTTTTATAGTCAGAAAACAATATTTTTGAAAATTAAGAATAAAGTTCGGCTAAATCAATTATTTGAATTTGATAGGTTGATTGAATTAGTATGTAATAACTTATTTTTTACTAAGAAACAATAGGGTTGAATGAATAAATGTAGTCAATAAAATCGTATTCACACGAACTTCATCCATTCATTATCAAACGTATCTTCGCTCGATACGCGCTGGCAGTGCGCGACGATCGGACACGAACAACGATCCGAAAGTCATGTTGCGTCACGTTCTACCAGGACAACATCAACCGGAAAGAGATTAGTGTACCGTAACGAGCTCTGCGCTGTTCGACGGTCGTATTTAGAGAGGGATACAGTTATATGTAAGATAAAGAAGCATAATTCATTCTACACTCATTACTGTGATCTACTACATCGCGCCATCGTTTGTAAACGTCAACGATTATTTCATACAAGACCGTAGTCAATCTATATTTTAATAATGCATGATGATTGGTTTGACTGATAAAACAAAATCATGATTATATTTTATGATGAATCATAATTATTATTTATGTATTTTAATAACGCAATTAGGTATTATAATCTAGTCATTGATTATTATTATTAAGATTCGTTGAAACAAATTTTTATTAAATTTTTAGGTTATGCTTGGGATAAGGTAGACATTTATAGTGCTTCATGGGGCCCTAATGACGACGGACGAACCGTGGAAGGCCCAGGACGACTTGCTAATGAGGCATTCAAACGAGGAGTCACTCAGGTAAAGACTTTCATCTGGGTAACTTGTGCTAACTCGGAATTGAAAATCCCATCGATTAAAGTGTTTAAATGCGATGGTATTCGTGCATCTATGGCATTAAAAATTGTTTAAAAACACCAAAGACAGAAATACATTTTTTTTAAACATAGAAAATGTTCCATGAATGAAGGTACGCTTTTTCGACCCTTAAGAAACCTTAATAGGTTTCTTAAGGGTCGAAAAAGCGTACATGTTGTTGTAGGCACCCCTGGTGTTGTAGGCGTCCATTGGCTACGGTAACCGTTTACCATCCGATCGGTCGTATGCTTGATTGCCGTCGTAGTAGAATATAAAAACAAGCAGATAAGTTGTTTCAAATATCAGGTTGAACACGCGGTTCCCTTCTTATCATCCTCCACTGGTGCCCCGCCAGCGTAAACCGTTAACGCAGGCGGGTGCATCATACCATTATTGTCCTATAACAAAAAAAAAATAGACTAATACATACATTGAGTGGTCATTAATAGTTGTGTTACTCAAATATTTTTAGTGATTTATTGTAATTGTTTTTAATGTTACAGGGCAGGGGAGGCAAAGGAAACATATACATATGGGCTAACGGTAACGGTGGTGGCCACAACGACAACTGTAATTGTGACGGGTAATTAAGTATGTACTTACAAATACACGTGTATACATACAGTAGGTACTATAGCGCCCGCGACTTCGTCCGTGCGGAATAAACGACGAATGACGACATTCCATACAAATTTTCATCCCCCATTTCGTTTACCTCCTGAAGGGTAACATTTTTAGAATCTTTGAATATCATATTTATATAAAGAACAGCCTATAAAATAAGTTTCAAGTTTCTATATAGCTTAAAAAATGATGATATTTCCATACAACCTTTTATCTCCACTTTCTACCCCTTACAATCATTTCTCTCATTAAAAAGTAGCCTAGGTGAGTAAGAACTCAAGGTCGTGACTATGTGTGTACCAAAATTCATTTAAATCGGTGTCATAGTTTTTGCGTGAAAGCGAGACAGACAACAGTCAGATTTATTATGAAGTTTCTCTTCAACCTTTAAATAAACTGAGATACTTATTGTCATTAGGGTCAAAATCGACCAGACTTGATACTTTACTAGCAATGGGATATCTCCACTTCTGGCTATTTTTTTACTCAATAATATTGGTATGTTGCACCTGCCTGCAACGCTACACGTGGTGCACCATTGCAAGATAGGAGGTCTTTAATTTGTTTTTTGCTGTTGTGTGTAATTAGACTGGTAAACGAGCTCACATTTCTCCTGATGGTAAATGGTAACTGTCCTTACACGAATAGCATCACAATCCTTGAGTCGCCATTCCAGAAGATACTTTCACTGCCTTAAACTACTGACATTCAACGAACGTAATACATCTTTTAAAAAATATTTAGTGGATGAAATGAATATTATTTATATTTATCCATACAATTACGTTAAGTTCGTAGTCCGAAAAACAGACTACACTAATGTTGTTGGCCTCAGCTGGCATCTAAGGATTCTTAGCTCAACAGCACTCCAAACTGACAATAGACTTGACATAAAGATATTTTTATTTCATTTGATATATATAGAAAACATATATTATGTTATATATGGTATATTCCAGTTACGTTAAGTTAAGTTACTGTGGAATCCAAAATACTCCCCAGAAATTTTGTTATATCATATTATCAATACATATACCTATATATTTTTTCATCATTCCCTACACACATACTAATTGATAAAATGTTATTTATGAGTTTATGCATTTATGCAGTGTATACTTATGTATTGTTGATTTAGAGAGTTCAGCCCAGTATAATTTTACATATTTCATTTCCAGATATTCATCTAGTATCTATACGGTGTCAATAGGGAGCGCCTCCCAGCACGGCCTGTTCCCCTGGTATGGGGAAATTTGCTCATCCACCCTGGCCACTGCATATTCTTCTGGTGCTTACAAAGATCAGAAAATTGTGAGTGAAATTTACATTTATTTCAAGATGGCGCCGGTCCACACGGTATCGAAACTGGAAACCATTGTTTACAAACATGAAGAGTATGGGACTTCTCGTTGTCATGTGACCTTAGTATTATTCATGCATTGCCGTTCCGTAGGATTATGGGTTTTAATGCCTTTGCACCTTATAGTTTATTTCACTACCATATCTCACCAGAATACAGATAAAGCAGCTGCTTGACGGCGCAAATAGGCGCGATAGAGATCGTCTTGTCATGACTTTTTACTTACTACGGTTAAATATACCTAATTCTAGTAATTTATTCGACATTCTTTACCCTTTTTATTATTTTTACTATCTATACCCTCCCCGGCTTCGCACGGGTGTACATGTTATTATATTATACATATAAAGATTCCTCCTTATAAAAATTAAAAAAATACATTAAAATTCGTTGCGTAGTTAAGAGATTAAGAAAAATATGTAGTTTTCATGAGTAAAATACTAATTAAAACTACATTTAGTTCTAAAGTAATTCATATCAATTTAAATATATGTTTTCATACATTAGTATCATGGCTAAGACCAAAAATTATAAACTATGTAATGTTTTTACGTGATCAAGGCACGATACTATTTGAACGCCACTCTATGCTTCACTGGATTCTTACCGAAAGAAAAAATATGATTCCCTCTCTTTCAGGCAACTACTGACACGGGTGATTCGTGTACGCTGAAACACACAGGGACATCGGCCGCTGCACCATTGGCTGCTGGCATTGTGGCACTCGCCCTGCAAGCTAAGTGGGTTTAATTACCAACTGCTATGTTTTATGCGATCCTAGTACATAGATCTGTACGGTCTGTTTGTCTCAATACCCTGTGGAGTAAGTTGAGTTTTGGAGATCCTTTGATCACATGGCCGTCCACACCACAATCTACGATCACGTAATTTTTTTTTGTTTCATTTCATTCATTCATAATTTAAGAGCCTCTTGTCGGTGGAGCTCTTGCCACTTTCCGCGATCTTCCATCATGCTCATTTTTTTTGTTTACTACACTAATTCTGTTGGCCGCAGCTGAACTTACCAGCTACATCGGACGCTAGAGGGCGAGTGCAGATGGCACTCCAAGCCTGCAGAAGAACTTATGAAGCGGCTGAAAGCCAACTCCCGCCTGATGGATATGTTCACGTTTAATAGTTCAGTCATTTTTTATTTGCTTGACAAAGTGGACATACAGTTAAAAAAACTTATAATTTTAGTATTAATTTAATGTCGTAACTTTTTATTGAATACTAGCTGTACCCGCGAAATCGTCCGCGTGGAATTTAACTTTATTTTTCTAAAATAAAAGTCCCTTCAAAATCGGTCCAGCCATTTCAGTGATTAGCCGGAACAAACAGTCAGACAAAAATTGTAAAAAATGTTATTTTGGTGTATGTACCGTATTTATATTCATATGCATGTAGTAAAAAAACAGTTATTTCAATATTACAAACCGACACTTCTTATTTACATGTACTTATAGATTATTAGAGAAGAGGTAGATATTATTTTAAATTTAATATAAATAATAATAATAAAATAAAATAAAAATATGTTAATTTTAAATTTAAATTTACATGTATTTTATAAATATATGTAAATTTAAATATAATATAATAAAACAAAAATATATAAAAATTCTATTTACAGTCCTAGTTTGACGTGGAGGGATGTCCAGCATTTGATAGTTTGGACTTCGGAGTACGCTCCTCTATCAGCGAACCCTGGATGGCAAATCAATGGGTAAGTTTTAGGATTTTAAGTAATGTGAATGTGTGAGTAATGAGAATATAATAATGACCCAGGACAGTTCACACAAAGCTGTATAGTCCCAAGTTAATTAGAGCTTGTGTTATGGGTACTAAACAACTGGTACATACGTAGTTACGTTAGTAGTACGTTATATTACACATACTTATAATACATTTCATATTTATCAATCGTTCTTATAGATTATTAGAGAAGGTAGAACTCCATGCGGTATCGTATTTCATAAATTTAATATAAATAATAATAATAAGAATAATATAAAAATCTTATCATCCTCCAATGTTAAATTTAAATTTATCATCCAAAAACAAAGAACAGTTATATAAATATATGGACTCTCTATTTCTTAATTTTATTATATTATTAATATAATAAAAAAATTCTCAAAAATATATATTTTTATAAAATCTATCGTTTTACAGTCCTAGTATTTTTATTTATCCTGTAGATGTGTTCCATTGTTTTTATTTTTTTTATATTAATAATATTCTTAATAGTCGTAATACCTATTTACACTAATAATAGTAATTATACATAAATATTTACACTTACTTATTTTTATTACTTATGGTTTTCAAGCCACCTATTGTATACTCTAAAAATATTTGTCTATCATATTTATCGGTCATTAGTTTTGGGAAATTTTCTAATTTTATTTCTATATTTAGTAAATTTTCATAATGAAATCTTTTTCTGTCAAACATGGGGCATTCCGTTAACATGTATCACAGACTGCGGTGTTTCATCGTCACTATTATTATTATTGTCCAATATCAATCTCAAATGTACATATTTATATGTACATTTGAGATTGATATTAGAATACAATGTTAACTCTTAGCACAGATAATATAATTTGCTCTTAGTATGTGAATATTCAAGCGTCATGGGCTTTGGGCCTCTTTTTAAGGAATCTTAATACATATTCATACTTTAAGATTTCTATTACCAAATTTTTAATGTATAGTCTTTTTTATTAAAGCAATGTTCATAAAAGAACCCATTATAATGCATATTATTTTCAGTGTTGGCCTACGATTCGATGTACGATTCGGATTTGGACTTATGAATGCTGGTGCCCTGGTGTTGACGGCACTGAACTGGACAACTGTTCCAGAAAAACATATTTGCCGCGTGGAAGCTTCAGCGTTAGTATGTTTCCTTGGTAGCGGTGTAGAAGGCTGGCACTATGAAAACTTGGGATTGACATCGGTGGGCCGATGGTGCCCAAGATATTTTTAAATGAGTGTAAAAAATTACAATGTGTTTAAAGTGTCTTGAGTAGTGATGTCTAAAATGTCCATACATGTGGCGGAGTGGTGGGCCGGATTATTGGGCTCCCTAAAATATGGTCGATCGCAGTGATAGCTGGCTAGCATTTCTATGTTTAAAAACAAAAACTTTTTTTCGAGCTGTATAGTTTATATGACATTTTTTTTTATTTCATCCTTCACTGGTTCCTTCAATATAATTAGCATAATTGGGAGCACAATTCCTTCATCATTTATAAGTAAAACCTCAGAGACTTAATTTTTAGGTTCAAAGATGGAGGAAGACGAATATCATCAGGAGACTTATTAAATATTGAATTAGAAGTGGGAAATTGCGCTGTCAAATATTTAGAACACGTCGAGTTATTTATGAATGTTCAATACACGCGTCGTGGAGCACTAGAACTGTATCTTATATCTCCAACAGGTGAGAACTGCGCTTGTTTTATGGAAGCCTAGTATTTTAGTTAGATACGTTTGTCCGCTGGAGTACGCTTGCACCTAATTGCGCGTGTCTCCCAAGAAGAAGTGTGCTTGTTGTTTTGTTGTATGGTATGTATGTAGGTTCATCGACACACAGAGAAAATACGTATGTAACAAACATACAAATCGATATTTGCTGTAAGAATGTTATGGATCAGAGCCATCTGTTGAGAGAGAGAGGTATTATTTGGTCACTACAGTTTTGTATTAAATTCAAAACAACGATGTAGATGTCGTTAGTTGTATGATTTTGTAGAGATGTTTTTTGTTACAAGCGTTTTTGAAATAATACATAAATGATTTTTGGCCCGCTGCGAGTATATTCAACAATGTAACTGGCCTTGTTTGTTCCTAAAAAAATAAAGCTGAAGCGCTTTTTATCAATTTTTACAATAAGCGGCTTTATCCTTAGGCCTTAGCTTGACAACAATCTGTAGATTTTGCCAAGCGGAAGAGAAAACGCCACTATACATGCTATGTGGTTGTAGCCCACTCATGTATAAACGAAATATGTCCTTTGGAAAGTATACACTCTATCCTGAGGAGATAAAAACCATCGCTCCTAAGAACATCCTTCAATTCTTGTCCCTTACGGGTTTAGGCAGCGAAGCATGAAAAAGGGCCAGTACAATAGATCGAAGTGCTACAGGTCTTAGCACCTGACAATAGCTCAATACTCTCAATAAAAAAAATAAGAAAATTTTATATTGACGAGAATTAGTCTATTTAATATTACAAGATAGTGGTATTATGTACCTACTATACATATATTACCTACATACTATTTTATACAGGTGACCGTACGGCTACGTTGAAATTAAAACAATTCGACCTGCACTTCCAAATTTAAATTTCGTTGGCCTATATAAAAAAAATACAAATAAAGGCCATGATTTTTAAAAGTAAATTTCTGGCCAGCATTATAGTGTATTTATTATATTATCGATTAAATAGAAAAATAACATTTTTTTAAATTAGAAGCTAGAATTGCCTCCTTTTATGTAAGTCAATTAAATTAACCACGCCGTCTTAATAATTATTTCAATAATAATACTTCCGTGTAAATTTTTGTTAAAACTTTAAAGGAAAAATATAATTTAAATAACTTTAAATGATTGTCTTGTTAAAAAAGTACATTTTGAATAGTGCCTTTTTTTTATTTAACTGACGATACGATCCTTGATGTTTTTAAAAGTAAAACCCTATTCTATGTCATAAGGTACAAAGGTGCAAGTACTTAGTGCTCGGCCGCGAGATACATCGACCGCCGGTTTTGTCAACTGGCCCCTTACTTCTGTAGCAACGTGGGGTGAAAATCCTATAGGCGTTTGGAGGGTTGTCATTCAAGACCAGGTAAGTGAACATGAATAACATCTAACTGGTTGTATGGTTTAGTACAGGGCTTTCCAAACTAGATAGGCTCTAGGGCCAATAAAATCCATTGAGGGGCCGTAAACTATTTGTAAAAACAAAACAAAATGCACGTATACCATTATTTTATTACTATTTTATTGATTTACCTTTTACAATTTTTTCAACATCAAATTCAATTTTGGTAGTACCTAAACGCAGTGCATATTTATAAGAGCAGAAGAGAAAATAATTTGCTCATCAAATCATTTGGGATTATAAAAAAATCTAATTATAATTTGCTCACTACAACAATTTTGTTATTTAAATACAGAAATAAAACATTTTGCGGGCCGTATCAATTCAAGCCGCGGACCGCATGTGGCCAGTGGGCTATGGTTTGGACAGCTCTGGTTTAGTATAACTGGCCAGTATGTATAGTTGTGGTCTCTAATTTCTAACATGAAGTAAGTGTGCGTTATATGAAAGGCGTAGACCCAAAAAGCATAAACCATTAGGGTTTATGCTTTTTGGGCATAAACCCCTAATCCTGAGTGGTGATACACCATATTCTTAGGTATAATAAAAATACAATCGAATTGTGAATCTTTTTTTACGAAGTCAGTTGAAAAGTTATTAAATTAAGATTTTATGTCACGAAAGGACAGTAAATGTCAGGGATGTTATGGATATGAAATTTCGGATATAGGAATGATTATTATACCGGATACGAATGCGGATATGAAATGATTTCGGATTATCCGTTAGTTTCGGAGATAATTTCGGTTACGAATATTTTTTTAAGGAATTTCAAAAGTAAAATACAAATAGCTAATAAAAATGGTTACATGACTACGTACTTTCGATTAAATAGGCAAAAATACACTTCTTTTTAGGCCCGCTTGGTGACTCTTCCTGTAAACAATTGATGATTTTGTACTTTTTATGCTATCTTTGTTTTTTTCTAGACCAATGAAGAAAATTCCGGTTTTATTGGACCAATAAGTTTAGTTGTGCATGGAACTAACGAAATGCCGGCACACATGAAGGACGGGCCAAGAAAATACAACTACGATTACAATAATTACGAAGATGTTTTTAATTACTTCGGTACTGTACTTGAAGAGGAAACTAACTCTGACGACATTGAAGCATCAGATATACCAGAGCCGCATAACAGTGCAGAAGTGAACGAATTCAACGACATAGATCCAACAATACTAGCTGAAGTTGAAAAGGAACTGCAAAGGATCCACCATAGAATAATTATGAGGACATCAGGAGGGAAATGAAGGCTGACATATCCAGAAGCAACCAAATATTGTGTAAATTTTGTAAAATGTATTGGATTAATATTGTCGTTGAATTAATAAATGTATAATAATGTAACAACTTAATAAGGTATTAAAGAAATCAATATCGCTATCAAATCCTATATTGCAACGTTTTAAAAATAGATTAATTATAATTATTAAAAAAATATATATTACTGTATATTTCTGTATTAATTCACAGCTGTCACGTTATTTTGCCATGTAAAAAAATCGCTATTAAAAAATACAGTTTAACACCACGTTATAAAAAAAAATTGTTAAAAAAAAATAAGATTAATTAAATTAGGGCAAAAATAAATGTTAGGGGTGGACAACCCTTATCACTTAGGGGTATGAAAAATAGAGTATCCTACTGAATATGCATATAAAATTTCATAAAAATCGGTCTTCTGTTTCGTAAAAGCATGGTTACTAACATTGTGACACGAGAATGTTATACGTAATATATATTTAAGTATTAACTATTCATTAATATATATAAAATATAATAGAATACATATATATTTATAGGCGTAGCATCTCCTTCAGTGAAACACATTAAACAATTAAAACTTTTGCCATTTGAAGTTTGCGGCCGATGTAGAAAAACCTATTAATATACATATACAATCAGAAATTACACACAACAGAAGAGAAACATTAAAAATAAACCACAGGTGGCCTTTACAGCTTGACCAAAAGTGGCTGTACCAAAAAAACAAGTGCAAATGCACTGTGAAGGCCAACTCTTGCCTGACGGATACGACTTTAGGCTGAGGGTATCGCTAGGGGTTCACCTTCAAGTCTGCCGTCCACACAACAGGAGCCGGGATGGCGGCAGGCGTATCGCGTATTCCGGTGCGTCTTCCCCACTATGGGCGTAGGCGAGGGCACTAGGAAGAGTTCCCCCAGCACGCCATGAGGAAGGCCCGGTTGCCCGCTCGCGGTCGATTGCGAGATCCAAACGCCTCTTTCTTGAGGTTTTTAAAAGGACGCCTTTTTAAAGGTGTGCTATATAGCGCTAGACTACCGAGGCCATTAGAGAAATAAAACAATCTTATCAAAATAAAATTATAATATCACAGAAACGTACCTTACTTATACAAAATCGTAGTAAATCATATAGATAGTATATCTATTACATTTTATCTACTAACATATAAATTCCAATATACACACTAATATAAATTTATTTATTTATATATTCATTTTACTAAAATCACCAGGGCAACATAAGTGGCACGGAGTAGGTTTCGTCTATGATACGATATTCCGAAGTCAAAGAGTATCATTATGCTTCTATTGACTTTTCTTCTTTTATGAGAGCCTGATGGCCAAGGAGGTACTACTCAAACTAAAGACTGAGAAAGTAACTCACAGTTCAAAACTGACAGACACCAAAAACTTTTACTTTGTTTTATTTACTGATTCGCTTTTCGTTGATGGCAATATCAACAACAAACCAAATTAATCTGAGAGACGCCTTGCCACGATTGTGTGAGAATATTTTTTTTAGAGAATTATAATGGAATTGTGTACCTGCGCAACCGGTTAGCTCTGGCGGGGCACCAATGCAGGATGATAAAATGAAGTCAGATCAGTTACCCCAACCTGACAAATTCACCGGGAGTTTAACACGATGGTTCCAGGGCGAACCGCGTGGAGGTCGATTTGACATGGTACATTGCTAGCAATGGGATCCACATTACTAACATTCCCCTTCTCCCCTTTGTTCGAATATCGTTATGGGCTTGTTAAATTTACGATGAAGCGACGTCTATAGTCGACAATGCTTGATTATATCATCTGGGATGACGGTGGTGAAGTATATACTAATGTTTTACTTTTATTCCTGGCTTATATTTGTTGTATTTAACAATTTTCGTAATTGTATAAATCTCAAATGATTTATGTCCACTCTCTAACCGCGAAACTCAACTTTCCTTAACTCTCGTACCAAATATTCATCTTTGTAATCATAAATTTTCGTAAACCACTCCTCAGTCGAAATCACATATTGCCTTAATCTGCGGGAGAAATTTTAATAGGCAAAGATATATTTTATACGTACAATAAAAAAATGTATTATTTATTTTCCTATATACAAATAGAATCATCATAATGTCCATAAATATATAAATCCTTTGCTCGGGATATCTACCTTACCTTACCTTACTTTTACATTTTACTACTATATCTACATGTAATATTTCTACTTCGATATTATCACTGAAAGTGATTCTTTTTTTACCGATACGAACAAAAAATCGTACTCATGAATACAAATGTTTGTACCTACCGTTTGCAAAATCGAACCCACGACCATTGGAATGAGTGTGTAAAGTGAGTGGTGTAAAGCGCTGCTGGTAAATCGCTGGACCACCGTGGTTATATCTGCTCTATACTGTATTACGTCAATGGTAAATGTCTGGACATTATTTCCAGCAGCTGTTGGGAAACAATCAACCCATTAAACTAACTTACAATGTAACATAGAAAACTATGAAAAACTGATTTACGATGTAAGTACAGGCCGCCAAATGTTGGCCGGGTAATAAGCCGTTTCATCATTTTATCTCAATAATTACTCACTATAAAGTGCAGCGACGCAGCCGCACCGGGTGCATTGCGACACCTCTGCGAGTTAGCCTCCCACAGACGAACTTGTTCGCAGATCACCCGCTCTTTAGTTCGTTAGAAATACCAAAGGAATAGTACACAGAATCAGTCAGATTTCCGGTTGAAAACCAGCGCCGCACAGGAGAATCCAGTCGGCATACGCTGAATCGGATCCTTTTGCCGCCTTTAATGAAGTACCATTTAAATGTATTTCTTTCATTTAATTTTATTGGCAGCAATAAAATTATTCTTATTCTTATACTGATTTGTGACCTCAAGAAAAAGAACACAGAAATGGCATAAACACTTTCTACAAGACCTTAAGACAAAAATATAGAACATATTTTTTTTATACCACGAGTATGAAGGAGTATGGCAAAAGAGCATACGGCCCATCTGATGGTAAACAGTTACCATAGTTTATGGACGCCTGTAACACCAACCGTTGAACTATATATACGGTCCAAAAAGACAAAAGAACACTTATTGGCGTTAAACTGAGAAGTGAATGAACTAGTTCGCAAAAGAGCGGCGAACTAAAATGAGCGCTCCGAGTCGAAACTATTATGATCAAGACTACTATTGGTTCTGTCTGACGTAGTTCACTTTACCGGCGTCAATTGCAAAGTCCACATATCAATGTTTAAGTGAAGTTCGAATACGATCGTTCGAAATTAAAATTTTAATAATGTGTGTATATTAAAAAGAAAAAGTATTGCTTATTATCACGGATTATACATAGTTGTTTATTAGTTGGTGAGTTGATTTTCCTTAGTTGCATTATAGAGAAACAAACACAAGACATGTCTATTCAAGTTCATTATTCGAAATTTAAATAAGACAATTTTAAAAATGAGTGTAAGTTAAAAACAAAAAGTATTGCTCGTATCACAGATTATAGCTGTACATTCGTTGTTGAGTTGATTATCTTTAGTTGATTTTTTGAGAAATAGATAGGTACATGTCTATTCAAGTTCATGATTCGAAATTTAAATTAGATATTAACTACCTTAGATATTATATACCTCGGACAAAGAATTAGTCTAGCCATTCAAAGAGGGAACGCTGCCAGTATCTTCGGAACTTTGTCTAACGGGACGCCTTTTAATTATGTTTTATTTATTATATTGTATTTTTTAAGGTTTTTAATTGTAGGTTCTTTGTTTTACAATTAAGTTATGTAAATAAAGTAAAATTAGATATTCTAAAATGTATATTGTGTAAATTGATTGTAATTATAATACATTTAGAGTTATTCCTTATTTCTTCATTCTTATCAAGAGAGAAGTCGTTTGGGTATTTTGTCGTGTACTGCCGGCTTGTTTGCCGTACCAATTACATAACAATGTTATTCTTATTAATATTATAAATGCGAAAATTGTATGAATGAATGGATAGATGAGTGTCTGTAATTGACTCTCTCATGCAAAAACTACTTAATGAATTTTGATGAAACTTTACAGGTTCGACATTGGAATACACAGGCGTAATTTTCAAGCCGGTGAAACCGCGGGCGCAGCTAGTAAAATACATAGGCGTATAACATTTGGTGATTTAATTTTACTTAGCAAAGTAAAATTACAAAAAATATAAAATATACACACAAATATCAATATTCAAATCGAATTTCAATTAAATAGTTCGAAATTTAAATTTAAATTAGATATCTAAAAAAATATGGAAGTAACTAATTTGTATTTCGAATATGTCATTTTGTAACTTGATATTTCTTTGTAATGCAATGGATACAGCATTGTGGAATACAATAAAAACAATAGCGTTTTCCCATAGCAGTATGTATTGCTCACAATCAACACATTACAATCATTGATCTTTCTTAATGTTATAATAAGTACCACTGCTCCTTTGTTTTTGGGGCTAAACTGCTTAATTATATGGATTAAATTATTATAGATCAATATCAATAAATTCATAAGTTAAGAGCTCTTGTCGAGCTCTAGCCACCTTTTTTGAGGGTTTTGGGTTATCGGGTTTTAAGGCCTGCAGCACTGCGATCTACATAGATCTATTGTGCTCGCCCTTTTTCAAAGTTCGCTTCCTAGACACGTCAGGGACAAGAATTTAAGGATATTCTTAGGAGCGATGGTTTTTATCTATAAATAAAGAAAGATAAAAACTTTATATAATTATATAAACGAAATATCTCCTTTGGAAAGTGTATACTTTCCAAAGGAGATATTTCGTTTATACATGAGTGGGATTCAACCACATAGGATGTGTAGTGGTGTTTCCCTTCGTGCACTTGCCACAATCTTCCATAAATGACTCTTTTATTTTTGAAAAAATATATAAATAAATCTTCCTAGACAATTAACACAGCGTCATCTTGTCCCACGGTAAGCACAGCTTGTGTTATAGGTACTAAACAACTGATATAAGTACATGTATAGAAAATACCCAGTCTGATACAAACATTCATACTTGTGTGGGACTGTGTATAGGCGTTGGGGTCGGTGCAGCCAACGATGGTGGTAATTATAGATGCAATATGTAAAAGTAATAGTATATTATAAAAATGTGTCGTAACAAACTATATGAAAGCAAGAGCAATAGAAGGAATAATAGGAAGTAACAAAACCGTAGCAACCGATATAAAATATAAATATTTAAAAATAAGGAATAGTCGTACCAGCCAGCGGCCCGAATGTATAGTCCTGTACAATACTCATGAATGTGTGCACCATGCGAAGAATCGATCTCACGACCATCGGTATTAAAACGGTGTGCTAAACTGCTAGACCACCGAGGATTTTTAGTAAAATATAGAACCTCTATTACTAGGCCTTTGAACAAAACACCGAATTTTCATATTTAGAATACAATCTTTTATATTCATCGGTAGTATCCGCCATTCGGGTGTTGGCCTTCAGCTGCTTCATATGTCCTTCCGCGGGCTTGGAGTACCCATGTGCACTCGCCCTCTATCGTCCTGTGAAGCTGTAAAGGCCAACTGGGCCGACAGCATTGGCAGCAGTCTGAAAACAAAACTCAAGAGATAAAAAAAAACTTTGAATGACCACTTCGCGTAATGGGCGATCGGTTGAATATTTTTAATCTTAATGAATCAGACACTTAGGTGTTAGTTCTTATCGAAACATAATGATAATATTGCACGAGATCCGCTCATAATTATTCTATCGTTCACCATCGACTCAAGTTAATCCCTGTTTACGAAATAAGGAATGTAGGTACTACATCTTTATGAAACTGACACGCTAACCGTAAACTTTTATTACACTTTATCGCGAAATATGGATGCAATCCATTTGTACATGAATGGTTGTTAGCAACATTGTTTACCATCATAAAACTAGTAAAGTTAACATCCTTAAACCTATATAGAACCTACAGATTTATCTGCAATAGTTAATTTCATAATTTCGAGTTATTAAAATACAGTTAATCATCTTATGAACATTATATTATATTGCGAACTTTATATAGTATAAAATGAAGATGCTACAGTTGTACGTTCGTTTAAATCTTTTAAACTACGTAACGGATTTTAATGCAGTTTTTAACAGTAGATAGAGTGATTCAAGAGGAAGGTTTATATGTATAATACATGTACACCCGGTAGTAGATATATAACTACTAGTGTTGCGAACTATTTTTATACCTTTTTTATTACCTATGTTTTTTTTATAATATTATATATTGTGTAAATATTATATAAAGTGGCAAGAGCTCCACCGACAAGAGCGTAGCTCTTAAATTATGAATGAATGAATGAATTATATATTGTTTTTATATGACATAAGTCATTAATACACAATTGTTTTACGACTATACCAATGCCGTTTTCTTTGCTCGTCGTCTTGGTCTCCATCCTTCACAACTAGCTGGTATATATATTTCATGGCATCAGCATAAAATACTTTCGATTAAAATTTAATATAAAATGCCAAAATCATTTCCTATAAACCAGAGGCCGTGACGTTTGCACTATAAAATAAAAATTGAACTACAGAAAAAAATACTAACTTTTTTTTATTTTACTTCAGTTTACCTTTACTTTACCTAAGCCCAACTCTACATACTATACTTCCACAGCTATTATCACTGACCACGGAGGTCAGAGGCATTGTCATATATGTATATCAACAATTGCAATGCATTACCTGGCACCAACATCGAGGTCAACAACCCTCGGGTGTAAGTCTTTTAGTGCGGGAATTATCTTATGAAGAAATACAATTAAAGTAAATGTAACCTAACTTAAGAATTAGTGTTATACCTGGAGACGTTTTTATTGTCATATATATACATATATGGGCGAGTATACTTCTGTCCTGAAATTAATTTGAAATTGACACAAAGGTTTTTGGTATTAACCAGAAATAATATTAACCAGAATCGAATTCACACTCCCCCCTCCGATCGATCCTCCATCCAATGCAAACGGGGATCGATATTACGACGGCCTGAGCCGAAGTTCGAACCCCTAGTGGGACCCTCAGACTAAAGTCGTATCCGTCAGGCAGGAGTTGGCCGCAGCCGCTCCATAAGTCCTTCCGTGGGTTTGGAGTGTCATCTGCACTCGCCCCCTAACGTCCGGTGAAGCTGTAAAGGCCAGCTGCGGCCAACAGCATTAGAGTAGTCCGAAAAAAAACCCTTAGAGTTCCAGTTGAGTAGAACTACTAGACTCTTGAAATGGTCTCCTTTATTTTCAGGAGAACAATGATATTCCTGAATATAGCGTTTCAGGCAGAATTAAATCGTTACGAAGACAGTGAATTTGAAGACATGGCTCTCAAGAAATGTAATGAACATCCTGACACCAGGCACAAAGTTATTGAGGAGTTGCGCTCTATAGTATACGGTAAGGATGATTTTTTTGCTTTTTTATAAATTTGTGTTTGAAATCAATATTATGCGCATTGAAATAAGCACAGATAACCATATTTGATGGCCGTTAGTTTCTGTCCCCCTGTACAGGACATTTCGGCTGCTGGCTGACACGAATCCTTAAAATATTTATATTTTTATATTACCAAGGTTTTGTTATTCATCTTACCTTCTTCTACAATACATCATAGTTTGTTCCGATATACATTTAAAATTCTCATGTCACACTGTCAATTACCATATTGCTTCGAAACGGCTTGATCAATTTTTAAGTTAAACTTTTATATGCATAGTTATTAAGTCTAAGAATGGGCTACTATATATTTTTCATCGTAAGTGATAAGGGTTGTCCACCCCTATAATTTTTTGGACAAATTTTTATTAATGTAGCATTAAAAATACATACAACCCTAATTTTTTACGCTTCTGTCACCAACCCCTATTTTTTAATAGCGATTTTAATTTATATGGCAAAACAACGTTTGCTGGGACGGCCAGTAATATATATATATATATATATATCATTTATTTTTTGGTCATACATTTTTATTTTTATCATGTTAGGCATTAAACAATTCATACTGTTATCTATTTAATAGAAATAAAAAGATGTAGTTTTACTTTCTAAATAAAAGATTGTTTTTTATTTTGTCATGATGTCGTCACGAAATTGATATCTCTCCCACACCTTGTCACACTTTGTCACTCCTGCCGCTCTCGTTTAAAGTATGACGTCATTTATTGATAACCCTTTATTGTGTACTTTCAGAGCGTGGTCAGTGCAGCCCTCGACGTATGGACGATGCGTACTGCCTCAGATTCCTGCGTTGCCGACGGTTCATACCTGCACTTGCGTACAGACTTGTAAGCTGTATACCTATATATAACTGGATAGCTAACATGGCTGGACTGTGACAAGCTGCCAACATAGATTTTTTTTGTATTATAAATATATTCATCATTCGATATAATCATACTTATGAATACAAATGTTGGTACCGTGCGAGGGATCGAACCCGCGACCATGGGAAGTAAACCGCTAGACCCTCGAGGCCATCATAATAGTAAAGTAGGTAGGTATGTTCAAATTATAGTTTTACGACGCCGCGACGTAACTCTGGATATCCGCTCACTAGGTCGCAGTCAGCCTTTGCTCTCCTTGACATCAAATGTGCCTTTCCAACCGCCAAACGGATTCATCTATAAAATGACTAGCTGACCCGCGCAACTTCGTCTGTATTACACTTGACATTTATCATTATATTTCACATATATCATTTTAAATTATAGCCTATTTGTTATCCTGATGTACGGTAGGGAAACGAGACTAGACGGGACGAGACGGGAAAGGGACGGTAGGGAAAAAAATATAAAAACTTGACGTTCATAAGCGGCTAAAATGTCCTACATGAATAAATGATTTTTGAATTTGAATTTTGTATAAGCTGTATTACTGTAAAGTTTCATTAAAATCCATTGAATAGTTTTTGTATGAAGAAGTAACAAACATCAATGGGGGATATGTTGTGTTGTGTAATTGTATGTATGTATAATTAAGTTATGTAAATAATATAATTAGTTAATTTATAAATTAAATTGATCCATCCATTGATGTAAATATGGATTACACTTACTTGACATTTCTCATTATATTTCGGCCAATTTACATAATTGTAATGTACTGTACTTCACAGTAACTGTATTACTGTAAAGTTTTATTAAAACGTGTTTAGTAGTTTTGTGTGAAAGAGAAACAAACACCAATGCCAACCGTTGCGCTGATTAGATATAGTAAGGCGATGCAATTTAGTAATAGATATAAAAACAGATAATTATATATAAAGAAAATTATATACCGATATACTTGCAGCGCTCGCGGATCGTCCACACGTTATAGACCTAATAAATAAAAAAAAATGGTTCTAGTTTAAAAAATGACGAGTTTCCATAAAAATTTTCATTTTCTACTGTATTTTACCACCTAAGGGTAATATTTTTACAAACTTTTAATGTCATATTTATTTATATTTAATCAATAGTCTAAGAAATAAGTTTCAAGTTCTAGCTTTAATAGTGGCGATACTTCTTTCGTTTTAAGAAACATGTTCTTTCTCAGGATCTACATTATCTGTGTAGCAAATTTAATTTTATCATTTTGGCGTGAAAGCGAGACAGACAGAGTTACTTCATTTATAATATTAGTAAGGATGTACAAATTAACACACTTATATGAATGAGACAGATATAATGACTTGCAGTCCTCTGGTAATATTATAATTATTTAATGTAGATGGTTCGATACGAAGATTTCCGTAGAAAAAACGGCCACCTCTACAATTGCGACCCATTTGATCTGCGGAGGGTGAAGCATGTCTACGCAGGCACCCTGCCCGAAGGTCCCGAACATGGCCGCCTGATAATAATGAGATTTGGTGAGAAACTGGTGCTGATTCTGATTGTATTTTTTTATATAATTTGAATAGCAAACAAACTGATAGTCCAGATGGTAGGCTACCGCTTACAGATAGGTAGGCTTACTTATCGTCTATATACATAAACGACAATATCATGTGTGCTATCGAGTAAAAACAATATAAGCATGGTAAACTTGGGCCTGTTGTCAACAAAAATCCGCATAATTTGCTAAATTCTACATATCCTATGGAAAACTTGGTCAGAGATGACAAAGGTAATATCCTTACTCCATCATTATTCCACAAATATTTATTTCCACCTTACTACTTATGGTTGCGGGTTCGGTGCCTGACACGATGCAAATATTTATATTAATCAGTATGACTGCTTGTATCAGTCTGGGTGTTTTCTATGTATAATATCTATGTATATGTATCAGTTATTTAGTATATATAAATACAATAAAACAAACTTTAGCTAGCTTAACTTGGGTCTAGATGGCGCTGTGTATTGTCCTGAGATTATTATTATTATTCTGTATATTATGTATCCATTAACAACAAAATCTAAGTATATATATTAGTTGTCTAGTACCCATAACACAAGCTCTGCTTACCATGGAACTAGATGGCGCTGTGTGAATCGTTCAGGTTTACTATTATTTATGTAAACCACTTCTCGTTTCAGGACGATGGGATACTGATGCGGTACCTATAGATGACGTAGTGCGCTGCGCGTTGGTACTCGAAGAGATTGCGGTCCAGCAGCCCAAGTTGCAGATCCTGGGAGTAACTGTCATTGTGGATCTGGAGGGATTAAGTTTTCGCCACGTGACCCAACTGACACCGACCATTGCCAATCAAATTGTCAGCTTGATGGGGGTAATGTTGTTAATTATTTCATAGATTGAGTAAGATTAGAGGTTCGTGATTTACACCCAAGATGACGAGAGTTAAATTCTAGTTGACTCAAAACAACTTTATGTGTCCATTTATGTTTGTCGGCCTCGGTGATCTATTGGTTTAGCACACTGCTTTACGTCCGATGGTCGCGGGTTCGATTCCTCGCATGGTACAAACAATTGTATTCATGAGTAAATCATACTCATGAATACAATTGTTTGTATCGGTCTGGCTATTTCTATGTATATTATGTATATATTTACTAAAAAAAAGTAGCTATGTATTTATGTACATCAGTAGTCTAGTGCTCAAAATTCAAGCTCAGCTTAACTTGGAACTAGATGGCGCTGTGTGAATTGTCCAAGTATATTATTATTTTTATTATTATTTATATATCCGAGTCAATTCCTGATGATGGAAACACCGATAACTAAACCAAATAATTAATCCGAATGACTCTGCTAAGTTGGATTGAAATAATCATATATATATATATATATATAACATAATATAATTCAAATATATATTATATATATACATATATATATACACTACACATAACAATACGTACTAGGATATCATAAAATTACAGGTGGCTTTCCCGTTACCCCTGAACAGCATACACTTGGTGAACTATAACTGGATCTTTAACACATTCTCATACGTGTTCAAGCAGTTCATACCCAAACCTGTGTGGAACAGCATTCACTTCCATGGACATGACATGAACTCTCTCCAGAAGCATGTACATCCTCAATATCTGCCGGCAGAATACGGCGGGTTCTGCAAACACGTGATTTCAACTGAGGAGTGGCTTGCGAAAATATATGAGTACAGAGATGAATATTTAGTACGAGAGTTAAGGAACTTGGGTTTCGCGGTTAAAGATTAGATATAAATATAACAAAATAAAGGTTTTTGGTGTTTGTTATATTTGAACTGTAAGTTCCTTTCGGCATAAATTGAGCAGGTTAGATAGTACCTCTTTGGCCATCACGCTCTCATAAAAGAAGAAATGCCTATAGAACCACAATAATACTCAGAGTTAGGAATATCGTATTGTAGACGAACCCTACTCCGTGTTATTTATGTTGCCCTGGTGATTCTAGTAAAATATCTAAGTAAATAAATAAATTGGTAATAGTGTGTGTGTGTATGGTTATTATTGGAATTTATATATTAGTAGATAATATTGTAGATATAATATCTATATTAGATTTATATTGTTTTTGTATAAATGAATTCAAAAGATACGTTTCTGTGATATTACAATTTTATTTTGATAAGATTTATTTTTGTTTTATTTCTTTGATGGCCTCAGTGGTCTAGTAGTTTAGCGCGCCGCTTTTATCCTATGGTCGCGAGTCCGATTCCTCGCACGGATTTTTTATTCTCAATGAAAATTAATGTATATCTACAAGATTAGTAAAACGCAAGGAATCTTTTTACAATTAACACAGCGCCCTCTCGTACCACGGTAAGCAAAGCTTGTGTTATGGGTACTATACAACTGATATTATTATTATTATGTATGTATTTACAGAAAAAAATCGAAGTATTTAACTTAGATTTTTTTGTAAATACATACATGATGTACAGAGAAACCACCCAAACTGATAAAAGCAATCATACTTAAGAATACAAATATTTGCATAGTGCGAGGAATCGAACCTGCGACCATCGGAAGTAAAGCGTTATTCTAAACCACTACCCTACACCATCGAGACCGTCAAAAATATGTAACGATATTGGTAGTTCTTATAAATGAAAATCAGAGGTGTGCTTTTTGAGTTGCTCCTCCTACTTACTATTGCACTAATCAAAAACGTCGGCTATTCTTGATTGAATACAAAAGAATAAGATTGCTGATGCAATAAAATAATACATGTTTATTTTTGTATTAAAAGAATAGCTTTTAGAAATGATATCGAGGTACAAATATTATATATAGACAGACAGAAAGAAGAGACAGGAATTCATTACAGGTTGTCAATTTGATCAATAAAACATTTTGTGTTGATTTATAAAATATATGTTTATCTATTAAATTTTTTTAACAACCATAAAATACATAAAAACATTATGACATAGGTACTTAAGGTATCACAATATATATTAAAATTATATCTATAACTTACTAGTTATCGATATAATTTAATTTAAGATTAAATCCATATTTTCTACTAAGTTGTAATTTAGTCGCCGAACAAGCAACACTAGGCTTCCATGATATATACGAGCTCTATTCATTGCCCGATGATGCCTCGTTCGGAGATGAAACACGAGTCACAAAATGGACGTAGATACAATAACGGTCGGGATTCAATCATAAATAGAGAAGGTCGCAACACTCGCAACGCTTCCAGTAGCGGTGGTCAGGTTTCCGCATTAAATATATGTTGTCTCAGATATGCGGAATTAAGCGGAATGAAACAATGTTTTTAAATCCATTAAGTAATGAATATTTATTCGTTTGTGGAGCTTCCTATATCGTATATCTATTTGTATCGTATCTTGCTTTGTAGGTTTGATAGACACCTCAACCCACCCTCTCATCGTTAGGCACAAAATATACATAGCAAATTATTGGTAATATGTCAACATTTTTAATTCATTACTAGCTCGTTGCTATTACGACATCGATATTTTATAATATATCTTTATTAGTAAAATTTCATTATTTTCATAACGTCTTACGTCCCTTACATTACAGATTACATTAAAAAAAAGTTATATGTCATTGTCTAATAAAATTATAATTAACAATATCACCTTCATCCTATAATATGTATATATTAATTTATGGTATTTACAATTTACAAATTAAAATAAGGCACGTATAATTAGGAAAACAATCATATCATATTAATCAGCAAACTTCAGTTTACTCGTGATCATGGGCGTTGAAACACTGCCGAAATATCGGGACCTCGAGAGAAATAAGTAAAACGTGGTAAGATCCCGTGATTTTTCCTAATTTTACGTATAATTAATGATCGCGTCTTTAAAACAGTATATAAAATATGATACATATACATTTTTACATTTTATTGGTATTCATTCGATTATATTTCCATTCGATTATATTAAACTACGGCCAATGTTATTTACCATTTTAATCCAATATTAGGCCGCTTTAACATCCAATATTAGGTACACTCACCTTACTAACAAAATTTTTAATGTACAATTACATATGTAAGTAGGAACATAAGTGATCTCTAAATAGGATTATGTTTTATAACATATAATAAACATCGGCTAAAACATATAGACAGTAGTACACCATACGTATTTTTAAACTTTCGTATATAATATAAATTGTTTATATAGTTTATTTTATCCAAATTGAGCAAGGTTAACCGGGTAACATAAATAAATTTATGGTAAATAAACGTTGAGCAATATACCATACCGTATTTACCATAAAATTATTCGTTTGAAGACCCGTTCAGCTGTTACGTGACCGCTGACTGGCTGGCTAATAGCGTAATACGAAATCGCCAGGCAGTTCAGTTTAAGCCGTAAACTGAATGGGAATAAGAGTTCATAATACGCCCGCAGGGTAACAATATGAATAATAGTATACTCGTATATACTGCCAGAAATGCAGCGCTTGATAAATTAACGCGGCGCCAGTAGCAAACTTCTTCAAAGAAACCACGATATGGTTTCGGTTATAAGGTTTGAGTTTTTAAAAAACAACAATCATATATGATGAGCTGTTTACTCGGTAGTATTTTTTAGTCTATACGAGGTGTAGGTTGTTACCTACCTCGTATAGACTAAAAAATACTCGAAAGATTAGAAAATCATTTTTATATATTTTTCTTTTATATTAATGGAATTTGATCTTTGTGTTTTTAATTTGAAGGCTGCATGATGAATTTTTATGGTCTTACAGATGTATACAGTAGCGGAATTAAATAAAATAACACGAATCCATTGAGTGAAACTGTTTTTGTTATTATTTTTATACATAATAATATTTTATTTTTACGCAGAGGTGAAAGCCCTGGGCCTCTTACAACGCAGAGCCCATTTGATTGCATCTGACAGTCTTACTACCAGACTAAACCTGCGTTGCATAAATATATTAGTTTTTTTTAAATTACTATACAAAACATAGTAGCACCATTAGAACTATCACAATATGTCATATCTATTTACATATATAAATTTAATGTACAAAATTCAAAAGATAGTATATTTGGCAGACTTAACATTAAAAAGTTCACAAAACTATGTGTATATAAAATAGGTATAAGTTCTTTTTAAAATCATTTGAAACTAGCTGTGCCCTCAGTTACGCACATATGAAATTTATAGCCTATGTGTTTCTCTGATGTATAAGCTATATCACTGTAAAGTTTCATTAAAATCTGTTCAGTAGTTAAGCGTGAAAGAGTAACAAACATCCATTCATCCGTCTATGCATCCATACACATACACTTTCGCGTTTATAACAACAATAAGATAATTGCATTGTTTTAATTTTAGATTCTTTCTCATAAGCTAGGTACCTACTCTTATAAAATGTAGTACTAATTACTCTGTATTAATTGCTCTGTGATTATACCCGTTTAACAACTGCGATAACTAGCATTTCTACGTAAATAGAGATCAATACAGGCAAAGATCAATAAATACTCTGCCAAATTTTACCACAGTAACACTATTTTTTTTTTATTACAAAACCATGCTAGCAAAATGTCCTTCAACATATATCAATCAACGCAGTATCCCAGCGTTCTCATATCGGTATCAAAGTCCTTATTCTTGTACTGTTTGATCTTAGTTAGCCATAATTCCAGTGATACCTCATCTCGAAGACCACCGTACCGTTTCGGGAGGCAATCGGGATGTATAAACCTGAAACAATGAAAGTAATAACAATAGCGTGTTTGAACGTATTACCCTCGTAATAAAGGCTATATAAATAAAAATAACAAAGCGTAAAAAACCAGCAAAAGTTAAGAATAATGGTTCCAAGGTAAGTAGAGCTTGTAATATCGATATAAATACACAGATTTTTCGATTCCTCGCACGGTGCAAACATTCAAGAGTATAGGTTTAGGTGCTTTCTATGTATATATTTACAAAAAAATATGTAGATATCTATATCAGTTGTTTAGAACTCATAACACAAGCTCAGCTTGCCGTGGCACTAAATGACGTGTAATGATGTGTTAATTGTCCGAAATTATTTATTTATAGTCAAGACTTAGTAGTCGTACGTTAATGGATTCTATAGAAGTACTGCCACTCCATTAAATATAATTATTATAACGCCTGCAAAAATCTTGTTGATAGTTTATACTTCAAAGTTTTTGCTAATTATTTCTCATCAGTTAACAAAAGGACTGACTAACACAAATAAAATTTAATTGTTATAATGTAATGGTTGCCAATAAATTCTTTCTTTCTTTGTTCTTTATGATAACATAATATCTGTAGTACACGTCTATACTCCACAGTTACCGTTTACCATCAGGCGGGCCAGCTTGTTTGCTATTTTAATTACATAAAAAAGCCATACCTATGTAATGAGTTAAGATTGTATCCATGGAAATGGACTCTTTTCCAGAGATCATCAGCCGGTGCCAGGCGTTTGAAGAAGTGGAATAGAGTTTCAAACACTCGGGAGCAGTTGATGACATGGACCCCACGTTGATGCAGGGGAAACGCAAACTGGAATAACAAAGACAGTGAAATTGAAATATATTTTATAATAACTAGTGTAAGAAGCACTAATTATGATGGACGACTGAGGCTTTGAAGCCGGCTACCGCAAGGGAAACCCCAAGTAGCCCCTGTGACTTGTGACACGGGTGTAGGTTTAGAATGCATTAACACTCAGCTACTTGCAGCTTCCCCCCATGCCCAACTAAGACCGGGATAAACCCATTGCTAATACAATTCACTTTAATATCCAAAACACAACTGGCACGCTCTGCGCTCGTCAAATGAATGCCGCGGCTCACGCAACGAAAGAGGATTATTCAACTACCGACCTCCGTATCTGTAGACCAAAGTCAGTGTAGTAGGTTGGTCTATAAATACTAGATGGCGCTATTTACAATATTCGTAGTAATCCTTACATTGGGTACTTCATTAGTACTAAAAACAAACTACCTTCTTTTAATATATTTTTAAAATATCGGATTTTTTCTACAATAATGATGTAAATTCTAACACTAGTGATCACCCAATGGTCAGAATTCGATCATAATTAATTTAAATTAGAAGTTTGAAAATTATTAAGGTTCTATTGATGTATTGTCAAAGACTATATACTTCAATGGCTGTGTGTGTCTTTGTATGGTATGTAATGCTGTATGTGTGTGTGATGTTTTTTATTGATTTAATGTATTTATATACATAATTAAAAAAATATATAGTATTTTGTACTATATGGACTGTAAGTGTGCGAAATTTCGTACTCTTCCGATCTGGGCATATTTCATACAATGTTTTTGATTCACATATTAATACTATATACATATAATACTCGTGTATTTCATTATCGTGTACTATATTCCAAAATATAAGTTTTATTTTATTTTTCTTTCTTTTTATTCGGTGATCAAAACCTCGTGTCTATTAATTAACATTAATAGAAGTCTCGCCTAAGTCTCTCTGGAATTTCTCTGTCACTTCTCAAAGAGTAGAAGAATTTGTTAGGCAGTTCCCGTTTTATTTTCATCATAACAAAATCCGCCATCTCTTTATAACATTAACATCAGCATTGCCTTGCCTTTATCCCATTATTTTGGTAACGGCGTAGTATGTCATCCGCTTCCACTGACCTCTATCAGCCGTCGTATCTGAACTTACTCTCTTTTTACACATATCATCTTTCACACAATTCATCCATCTTTTTTTGGTAGACATCTTCCTTAATACACAATAATTTATACAGGAATAAAAAATCATATAATTTACATATTAATAAAAGCTACACTACTATGTTATTGCAATTGAAATCTTACCCCCATAACATTAATGGCTTGCAGTGCTATAGACGGAGATATGTGTCTGACATGCTTCATGGTGATTCCCTCACAGTCCACGAGGGCTGTTCCACCCAACACTTGAAGCTTGGGCTGCATGATGCCCACCTCTAAAAGTAGTAGACAAGCACTGACAAGGTCCTCAGCTGAGATTTGATCAGGGTCCCATAAACCTGAAGAGCACAATAATCTATACATATAAATGTAATTGGAGTGTCTGTTTGTAATATTGAAATAACTGTTTTTTACATATGAATATGTAAAAAACAGTCACTAATAAAAGTCCGGGTACCTGTACAATGGATTGATTACTGAGTATATAGGCGACGGTTACGACGGCCTCGCTGGTCTAGCGGTTTAGCACACTGCCTCACTTCCAATGATTGCGGGTTCGATTTCTCATATGGCACGAACATTTGTATTCATGATTATAATTGTTTGTATTGGTCTGGGTGTTTTTCATATATACATGTATTTACAAAAATATATGTATATTGTAGTAGTTGTCTAGTACCCATAACATAAGCTCTGCTTAACATGGCGCTGTGTGAATGGTATTGAGATGTTATTATTATTTTCGATCAGGTGAGTCGTTTTGTTTTAAAGTCAAATTTTATAAAAAAACATATCCTCACCAAGTCTGCATATAATGAGCCTGCCGACATCAGGTCGGTCGAAGAGTACGCCTTCATACACGTTCCCCATTCGAGTGTAACTGAACCAGTCCTGGTCGCGCCATAAGTGCGGGTTTTGTTCCCGGAAGTTGCAGTAGCGAACCATCTGTAATTATTAGCGAAAATAATTTTAATTGATGAATTGTAAAATGTTTTTATTGTACAAATTGTTTTATATTTATTATTGACTTCAATGTTTATATCAGATTTAAAAAAAAACACCGCGCCTAAACGAACAACCCTACAAAATGTTTTTGTTACTGCAATCGAATAGAGCAATCTACGGGAATATATGATTTTTTTTATTTGTCAAATAATGTTATATTATTAAATAAATATAATATTTTTTGAACAAAAACTAATTCGAACGAGTTTCATATGATAATGTGATACCCAGGGTATTGTTCATGTATTATGGTTTACCATACTGTTTACCATGAGGCGAGCTGTCAGCTTATTTACCATTCAATTTTCATAAACTCTTCAAAATATCTTTGTAATATACAATTTCTTGAAGGTCCGCAACATGCAGGTAACACCCCTGGTGTCTCAGGCATCCATAGGCTACGGTAACCATTTACCATCAGATGGGCCGTATGCTTGTTTGCCACCATCGTAGTTTAAAAAGATACTAACCAGTCTATGAGCTCTTGCTGGCACTGAACGGCGCGCCCTTAGGAACCGGAGCAGGAACGAGTCGTCGGTCCGAGGTGGAGTACACTCACCGCGCTCTGTTGGCAATTTTATTAAATTTTATTACTACTAGTGATCGGCCAGTAGTCGATATTTGACCAATTTATAATTTAGTATATAAATTTGTCTTGGACAGTTTCATTTTATGCCGCTAGATGGCGTTACTATGCAATATAAAACGCGGTCTTAAGATTTTTGTACTTATATATGGTAAAATGGAATGTTTGTATCTGTAAAAAGACGGCCTGAGCCGAGGTTCGAACCCCTAGCGGTGCCCTCAGACTAAAGTTGTATCCGTCAGCGGGAGTCGGCCTTGCTGCTCCATAAGTCCTTCCGCGGGTTTGGAGTGCTATCTGCACTTGCCCCCTATCGTCCGGTGGAGCTTGCCAACTGCGGCCAACAGCATTAGTCCGAAAAAAATTTACCTATCTGCAATTCGATTCCATCTGGTTCTGTATAGTTCTAGAAAAGAATATACCAATCATCTGTACCTATATTGTGTTTTCATTCATTGAACCGATGCTTAGTACATCTTGATTCAGTGTGAACACGTAGTTGTTCAATCTGTAAGACTACAGACATAATATCAAAGACAAATAATATTAATATATTCTCAATTTGATCGTAGACTCTAAACAAAAACAAAAGTATATATGTGTGTATGTCACATACATGGTAGTGTCTAATGTTTCTTTTATTGATTTAATGTGTTTTCATAGATAATTTAAGAACTTTCATACTCCTCAATCCTGCGCGGATCTTCGTAAAAAGGGGCACAAAGTTTTTGCAAGTAATCTATACATATGTATAAATAAAATTGGAGTGTCTGTGTGTAATATTAAAATAACAGTTTTTTACTACATGCATATGAACATAAATACGGTATATACACCAAAATATTTTTTTTACCATTTTTGTCTGTCTGTTTGTTCCGGCTAATCTCTGAAATGGCTGGACCGATTTGGCGGAACTTTTTTTGGCAGGTAAATATACTAAATGTAGGTTAACATCAGCTATGTTAATAACGAGTAAGTTAGGCTACTATTATTTTAGAAAAATAAAATAAAATTCCACGCGGACGAAGTCGCGGGAATAGCCAGTAATATAATATAATGTAATAAGTCAGAACAAAACAGCGAAGATAGACAGACAAACAAAACAATACTTAGTCAAAACGGCGAGAGATTAAAATTATTCGTGTTAAGACCCGGTTAATAATATCAGTAAATAAATAGTTTGCAATAAAGTTATATAAATTAATCTGGGTAGACAGTGCATGTCCAATGTCCAGCCAAGCGTGAGGTAACAATAGTTCGCTTCTGACGCAAAGGGACATTAAAAATTGCTCAAAAAATTAATAGGGTTACCGATTTAAGCCTTTGACAGCTTTAGAGCGAAAATATGCATGGGATTTTGGATTCCATAAAAAATTTTGGGTAAATTTTTTGAGCATAATATTCTATTCATTATTGATTAGACTAACCGAAACGACTAAAAACCACAAAAAAATATTTATTTCAAAACAAGACGATGGGCCTTTGGTTAGTAGGTATTAGATTTATCATCTACCAAAAATGTTATCTAATATCTAAAAAACATAAATTTCTATAATTCCAAATGGTTAAAAGAAATGCCATGTCGATAATTTTTTTTTTTTAATATTTAGTTATATTGTATATAATAAAACGAGAAACTTTTTTTTTTGGCTTTTCTATTTACGTTCAGAGGTATCTGATTACGATTTTAATGGTATTTTTCTAGCTGTTGACAACCCTGGCTCCGCGTCGCCGCGCCGTGTCAAATAGAAACTGCAAATAACCTTGTCGTTACTTTATCATGAATTTTTAAGAAATACAGTTGCAATACTAAGCATTGAATCACAAAGAAATCTGTTGTCACAGGTATTTACTCTACATGGTATTTGCAATAAAGTATTTCTATTTTTTTATTTTTGTTTTTTTGCCAATAATTTTCTTTTTTTTATAAACAATGAAAAATATATAATTAACAAAATTATGAAGTCAGGTTCATTTATGTAACTTCAGAGAACCATTTATGGAATAGTCCATAATTTGATACTGTAATCTGTCCATATTTGGATTTTCCAATGATTTCCAACTAATATACACATTTTTATATTTATGTAAGTAATACAATATAATACCGCTTAAACATACAAAAGAACATCTAAACAGTATATGAAAGCTATAAAAACTGTACTGTGTGGACTTTCTGTACGTGAAATATTTATTTTTTACATAACTTAGAAACTTATGTGCTAGCGAGAGAAACAAAACACTATCACAACGACGAAAAGGCTTCCTCGATTGACATGCTATAATTTGTATGCGTAAATGGGAGTAGAAATAGGTAGAAAATCACTGTCTATTTAAATGTGTGAATCGCAGTTTAGAGAAATGGACGAATTCCATATTAGGATACTATTCTATATTTAGTCACTTTCCTCTATAAAATCGAGTTTCTGGAGACTGGGAGCGTTTTGTACTAATTGAATGAAAATACAGTTATGATGTTACAAGCATACTCGTATATTGAACCAAACGAATAACATTTTTTCCGCACTACTCAGATGCTGGCCGCAGCTGGCCTTTACTGTTTCACCGAACAAGAGGGGGCGAGTGCAGATGGCACTCAAAACCCGCGGAAGGTCTTATGGAGCGGCTGAAGGCCAACTCCCGCCAGACGGATACAAGTTTAGTCTGAGGGCACTCGATCCTAGGATCAGGCGTGCATAAGACTTAGGGATGCAGATGTCTGAATTTATTAAATGAATAACACCACGGACATGACGTCATCATGACGTCAACTATATTAACACAGTCGGTACCCATCATGTTAATATAGTTGTATAAAGAAACAAATGGTAAATCCACTAAACAGAAATAACATAAGGTTTTTTTTTTTTTTTTTTGTCCTTATCTAAATATATGAGTGTAAAAATATACCGTTGCATGTGTGAGCGAGATAGCAATAGAAATAATTGGAACATTATAACGGTCTACACTTTTACTATAAGCATAATAACAATATAATGTCTAGCTTAAGTATGGCATTATAGACATTTATCAAAACTGTGCTTTATTTTCTTAGTGTTTGAATTTAAATTTTAACAATTTTTTTACAACTTTTCATGTTTTTACTAATATTTTATAACGACTCAAAAAAGAAAAGGAGGTTCTCAATTTGGCCTTCTTTTTTAAATAATACAATAGGTACTATATCTAGCTTAAATATAATATTATAGACATTTATCAATATCATGCTTTATTTTCTTAGGGTTTGAATTGAAATTTAAGAATATATTTTACCATGCTTCGTGTTTTTACAAATAATAATAATAATAATAATCTCAGGACAATTCACACAGCGCCATCTAGACCCAAGTTAAATATAGCTAGCTAAAGCTTGTGATTTTTGATGGGTACTAGATAACTGATACAAATACATAGATATTATTTCTTCGTAAATACATACATGTTGTACATAGAAAACGCCCAGACCGATACAAACAATGATACTCATGAATACAAATGTTTGTGCCGTGAGAGGAATCGATCCCGCGACCATCGGTCGTAAAGCGGTCTAGTGGTCCACTAGACCACCGAGGTCGTCCTCAAACAAAATATCATGTTTGAATTGAAATTTAAGAATATATTTTACCATGCTTCGTGTTTTTACAAATGTTTGAAACGACTCCAAAAAAACTTATATATCTATCTATACAAATAAATAAATATTGGTTTTACTACATGCGTATGAATATAAATAAGGTATATACACCAAAATAACATTTTTTACAATTTTTGTCTGTCTGTCTGTCTGTTTGTTCCGGCTAATCTCTGAAATTGGCTGGTTTGATTTTGACGGGACTTTTTTGGCAGGTGGCTGATGTAATAAGGAGTAACTTAGCCAACTATTATTTTAGAAAAATCTTTTATTTTAGAAAATAAAGTTAATTTCCACGCGGACAAAGTCGCGGTTACAGCTAGTATAGAATAAAGGTACCGACAGATAGACAGACAAAAAGTGTAAAAAATGTTATTTTGGTGTATGTACCGTATTTATATTCATATGCATGTAGTAAAAAACGGTTATTTCAATATTACAAACAGATACTCCAATTTTATTTATATGTATAGATTAATATAAATAACATTCTATTTTTCTTATTATTTTGTCCCGTCAAAATTGGTCCAATCGTTTCAGAGTTTACAAGAAAATATTTTTGTCTGTTTAAATTCTATTACATTTATATCCATTTAGTGATTAGCTGTTAATTTGAAATTACAAACAGACAGTTCAATTTTATTTATTTGTATAGATACAAAATATAAATTCAAAAGGTAAAATATTAGAATGTATATATATATATATATATATATATATATATATATATATATATATATATATATATATATATAATTATACACAGACAGATAGGTAAAATAATTTTTACATGTAACGGTATTTGCTGTCAATTTCAACCTTCCTCTTGTGTCGCTCTATCTATTGTTGTAAACTGCAAAATCCGTTGCATAATTTAAAAGATATAAGCGAACCCACACTGGCGTCGATTTTGTTTTATAATATGTAAAAATGAATATGCAATACTCAACCATCTACTTGGCATATTACTTCCAAGTATTCCACTTGATTTTAGGCTCGGTATACCCTATGTCAATTTGAAATGACAAACACACACTTAAATTTTATAGACATTAACTATATAGTTTTATATCTTTTTTTTAATAAAATGAACGGTGACCGCTCTAACCTGACTGTTTGAACTCACGGTACGGTTACCAGTTACCGCTCGCTTACATAATGATGCATTCACCTCGTGATCTTGACATTCTAGAACAGTTATTATTAACTAGACTTGTGGAAACGACTTAATAAAACTTGCTTTCAATTTGCTCGGCTTGGTTTTAAATTAATTCAAGTAATATAATAAATGCAAATATGTAAGTTTTTTGTATGTATGCGCAATGTACTATACGAATATGTTTGTATGTTT